TGCTGTTGTGAGACATTAAACACTCCAGAATCACAAGTAGTAGCTGGTACTCCTAGTGAATGACCTAACTCTTTATTGTAAACATGAGGATGTATTCATACAACAACAACTAGTAGTAGTAGTAGTAGTACTAGGAGGGAAATAAATTATATTAATACTACTACTACTACTACTGACGATGTCAATTCACTCCACTCTCCTATTTTGCTCTGCACTACTAGTAGTACTAGGAGTAAAAATTTCTGCTATGGGACTACTGCTACCTAGCTCCAATTTCACCAACATTCTTTTTGCTACTGTCCAGGCTGATGGCTGTGCTGGTTGGGCATCATCACCACCTTTGTTAACACCAGTACTAGTACTAGTAGTAGTACTATAATATTAAAATAGTATTACTACCATTGCTAAGAAGTTTCCAYGGTGAAATAGTAGCCATCCCACAATACTGTCTGAATTAGCATTGACTTTTGTTAAGAAGAATCTGTATAAATCGCTACTACTGTACGAGCACGTAGTCCTACAACGATTCTTTTTGAAAACTGATGTCCATTTCACAACGCGAAGAGCATTTTAGACRAAAAAATATATAAAAAATCCTTTCACAATTTTTTAAGAAACATGAATATATTTTACTCCTTTACCAAGATACTACGTTGCTTCATCCAGTTACGAACCTCGTCGTCTGTTATCGTTGCACGACGCTCCTGATGACGGGCCACCAAATCTTGAAGGACTTCAATCAATCTTGCTTTGACTTTACCTGTAGACCAGTATTCACCACTTCCAGATCCGTAGTCCTTTCCAATCGCAGCTAGTTCGTCGTCATCTTCCAGCAAAAATGATAGCCACTGGTAGCTCACATCAGTTTCCAAGTTCGCACCCAATTCTTCCTGCAGCTTCTTGGTTTCCTGTCCGCCAGAAAAGGCGTGTTCTTTAATCTTTCGTTCGATATCTTCTGGTGTATCTGTCAAGAAAATCGCCGAGTTTTCGTCACTACTGGACATTTTTCCTGCGGCACCCTGTAGCGGAGGGAAGAACTTGCAGTGGATCAAAGCTGGTTTGCCATTAAGCCCATGATTCTTACCTACCAACTTATGGGCAACATCTCGCGTCATCCGAAAGTATGGATCCTGATCAATGGCACAGGGAATCAAACAAACAGCCTTTGTTTCAAGAGGGTTTGGTTCTTCCAGGACTGTTGGGAAGCTAGATGCGAAAGATGGAGCAGCTTGGATCGCTGGGAACGCAATTTTACCAATATTTGAACTTCCGTCAAAACCAAAAATTCCATTAATTGTATTTGTTGTGACAGCCTTCCAAATACGAACAATGTTGGGGTACATGGTTCCAACGTAATCCAAGTCAGAAAACAAAAATGTCTTTTTGTAGTCGAAACCACACGCAATTATATCGCGTGCATTTTCCATCGTAAGGCCAGCATAATGGTTTAAGTTGTCTCCTGTTTCGGGATCGTATTTACCCTTGAACAAGAACTTTTCGTCGTCAGTCATTTGAACGACCAACGGGACATCAAACGCATCTTGCAACCACTTGGTGAACAAAAAGGGAATTAAGTGCCCGATATGCATTGATGATGAACTTGGACCTCTACCAGTGTACAAATACATGGGTTGCTTTTTTTCTATGCAATCTAAAAGGGCATTCATATCTCGGTGAGAAAAATAAATCCCTCGTCGCAAAAACCGATGGAGTTTTTCCACTTTACCCTTTCCAACCGTGTGATCAGTGATRCGTTGCATGAGAGCATCATCAATTAAGGTGGACCCAAAATTTTTAACTAGTTTTGTATAGTCGATATCTCCCGAGACTTCATAAGCAGTGACCACCATTTCCTCACCGCCSTTTCCAGAAGCAGTGACGGCTTCAACATGGTTTGTTACATTCTTAGCCGCTTCAGCTTCAGCGGCTGCGGCAAGGAGTTGTTTCCCTTCGKTCATTCGGATTTTGTTCTCTCTAAGGCTGGCTAGCCCTTCGGTCGTCACTACTTCAGCAAAAGAGTCACAAGACAAGGTTTCCGCCAACGTAGGTAAGSATGCGTCACTATCCCCTGTCTTCTCTTCCACAGTGAATTTGATAGTGATTTCGGCTTTGCGTGMTTTCTTACCCGCGGTAATATTGCACTGCTTTGCGTCCAACGTGATCGCTTTGATGGAACCAGTGGTTGGATAAGGGGCACTCGGAGGGACTGCCAACACTAAGCCATCAAGATACGAGCAGAATGGCAAKGGATCGGGAGTCTTTTTTAGAATACCGCCATTTAAAATACCCTTCCCATATTGTTCTAAAGCTTGATCCTTGGGAAGCGAAGCACCAGTCGTGATGGGCAAATCTTGGGCGATGATTCGATCCAACGCAATTTGAACGGCCTTCCAAAAGTCTTCAACAGAAGASGATTCATCGTCTTCAGGCAAATCCAACTCGCAAAACCCAAGTTTCTTGCCTAAGTTGACAGAGAATTTTCCCGATGGGACTTTTTCTTTGATATATGTGGGTTGCAAGAGCGATACAGCTGCTTCGTCCATACTGGCACCCACCAAACTCTGCAAGACACCTCTCAATATCAAGTATCCCGTAGAAACGGCTGGTGGGCATGGTGGTGTGACAATCACTCGCTTCTTTTTTGTCTTCTCGCCGGGGCCGGCGCCAYCAGTGGGTTGTTTTGTGTCTTCTGGCATCGTTTGTCTGTGTTCAAAATTTGTATAGTTTTCTTTGSCTCTATTGATAAGAGTTTCGAGTACTATGAACAATCAAAAGTCTCTGGTGGTTTAGTTGGATCTAACTCAATCTGCTAGTACGTACTACCGTACGCTATCAGCGAAAGAATATCACCGGATCCGACCCATTGTTTCGAACGGATCTGGTTCTAGTACTGTTGCAAGTTCGGTGGGTATCGTAAGATGCGCTAACAGACTAGCAGAAAAAAGTCACAACGTGCGGTGGACAGAGTACACGTTGAACATCTTCAATTAGGGGCGGATTTGGGGGGACTGAAGAATCATTAGATCTCTCCTMCTGCGTCATAGGTACCATAGTGAGGATAGTTGGGTACGTACCGTATTTGCCGAGTAACACCTAATCCACCGATGGGAGTACGGTACGAGTTATTATTGTGATCAAATGAGAAGTCATGATCTTCCAGCATTGTGTCGACACCGATGTCGGTAACGATACATTGAAATCAATGGTAAAATCATTTTCTATCTTTACATTCTTTATGTACATCAAAATAGTCAATGTAAGGGCATCGCTGCCTTCACTTCATTCATTTCAATCCYAAAGATAATCGCGTCCTGTTTGTTTGACACCACCGTGTTTCGGCGATGACGATCACGACAAATTAATATGACGTGAACAGGAAAGCCACTTCAAAAGCATACACGAATTTGCTCAATGGTGTGACATTTCTTAAAGCTCGTCGCTTCCAGCGGTCTTAGCCTTGATCTTCTGGACGGACTTCATGAGTCCAAGACCATCGGCCTTGACGGCGGCTKCGACGGCATCKTTTTGGGCGACAAGTATTTGGTATTGGTTTTGGAGCTTCTCGATTTCAGACTTCATCTTGGCTTCGGCAACTTCGATCTTGTTTTCCTCAACGGCGATCTTTGCCTGAAGGTCAGCATCACTCATGTCGAAGAATTCTTTGATCTCGGCTTTCTTCTTGTCGTCACACAAGTCAAGGTTGTTAGGGCCGCACATGGGCTTGAGTTCCGTCTCAGCGAAGGTTTTCAAGGCGTCATAACTGCGCTGTCCTTGGTAGTCCTGCAAGTCGGATGCATCTCCGTACATGAKGGTTGGGAATCCCTTGACACCGTGAGCGTCGCAAAGAGGCTTTCCCTTGTCAGAGGTACAGTCGATGTCGGCGATGAGCTTCGTCTCGTCATCCTTGAATTCTTCCATGAGCTTATCCCAGTCAGGCTTCATTGCCTTACAGTGACCACACCAAGGGGCGAAGTGCTTGATGAAGACAATCTTTCCGTCGGTGAGGGAGTCATAGTTCTATGAATTGGTGGGAAAGCGAAGAAGATTGAAAAAACATAATTMGAAAATGAGTTCAAAACTGTCGCCGTCGGCTGTTTGYCACCAGGACCAATCAGTAGGAAAAATTACGCTGTTAAATACTTACATCTTCAGTGAGGTCAACGGCTGAGGCAGAGTATGCCATCAAAGAGACAAGGGCGGCGACAGAGAACTTCATGGTTGTATATTTTCTTTTGTTGTTTTGAGATGAGAAAGATTTTGAATTATGCCAATGACYCGATTATCAGATTTTTTGGGAAACCATCGAGAAAGCTGAAAACCTAAACGTAAATTTCTTCATCTAACCGCTGAGTCGCCGATCCCACAAAAATCCAATGTTGTGATGCTATTTGCAGCCGTCAATTTTTTCTGCCACGAAACAATTTTTTTGGTCATTTGGAACGCTTTACTCCCCACGGAATGCAATACCGTACGGTAGAGTACCGTACGGTGCTGTAATACCGGGCGGTACGTACATTTTGCCCTCCCTGAAGTACGGTACAGGAACGTAAAGTACCGTATTATTTCACGGTAGGCCTTTTTAGCCATGTACATACGGTACAGGTTCGCATCGTACGTGGGTTGTACTGCTGAAACTACGTCTATTTTGATGATGATTCATCCATTCTTTCACGTCTGAAAAAATATTTGTAAGGAAACGCTTGATCTGTACTGGTATGTACAGGTACTGTACGTAGGAATGGGAACTTGATTGTCTAGTCGAAACAGCGTAAAGAATTTAGGCCACATGCCGTCGCCTTTCACGTTTCTTTCAGCTGTGTTTCACCTTCGGGGAAATAATTAAATTACGATTACGTACGTACGTACTCACAGGGGTCATAATTTAGAGGGGAGCGAGCGCAACGAATTTTTTTGCGCGTCATGAAGCACAAAAAAAAGTGAAACTCATATTCCACGGTCCTTAAAACGAGAACTGGAACTTTCAGCATGAAAATAATTTAAACTGGAACTTTTTTCGGAAGGCTGTTGTAAAATTAAATATAAACTTACTTAACCGTAATATAAACTTACTTAGAACAACTTTTCCTAATTTCTTGTTTTCTTACGGCAGCTTCGGCAGCTCAAATTCACCAAAATAAACAGTAATTTCATTCCTGGCAAAATAACTGGACCATTACGGTATGGCAGCTTCGGCAGCTCAAATTCACCAAAATAAACAGTA